CTTCCCACCAGTTCAGTGCTGTGGAAAGCTTGACTTGGCTTCTTTACTGTCTCTGGCACTACCCTCTTCTGAGTTTAACACTATTTTTTTCATTTATACAGACAATTTGATTCTATCTTCAGGATCTGGATTTTGTGGCTGTGCCTACAAACTGAGCTTGGTAACAGAAAGCTTTGCAGTTGGACAGAAAACAGCATATGCTGAAGTCATCATTGCAAGACAACATATCATCTGAAGGTTCTGTCAGACAGGTTCCCCTACTCAAATCTCTGCTTATATAACATGGAGTAATGTTTCCATAATACTCAGGAACCACAGTGAATTGTCGCACAAGGGTCTTTTCTTCTAAAAAGTTACCTATCAGCTCAACTTTTGCTGTGGTCAATCACCAGTTCCATCTTAAAGTTCTAGTTCTTTGTACTTCCAAAATATGGCCATAAACTATCATGCCAAGATTAAACTTGGCATACAAGTTGTGTCCAGAAGTAACCTCCATCAATCTTTTTCAGCTAGAAATTACATTGACTTAGTCATTTTTATACCACTTGAAAATCAAAGCCGTAGAGGTTCTGGTTCTCATCATTTTCTTGCAGTCACAGGTCTGCAGTTTCAGCAGCCCTTAACCACTCAGCCAAAGCAGTTTCCAAGGACTCCTGATCCAGACTGGCCCGAGGAGGCTCTGTGCCATGGACAGGATTACCTATGCTGCTCCCTGCCTCACCAGAGCTACAGAGAGTGAGGCTGAGGGAAAATGTTGTAGTTGGATTACTATGTGCCATGCTTCTTGGAGCTCAGAGCTGAATATAATAAACTTGGGTGTTTCCCATTTGTTCCACTGGAAATGACAGTTGCAGAACATGCACCTCCACAGCCTTGACAAGCATATCTCAGACACATCAAGGAATCAGCTGCAGTATTTCCAGGCAATTATACAGAGATACCTATATTCTCTATTCTGCTCTCTCATGAACTGCTTATGGAGAATTAGATGGGTAGAAATAAACCTGGCAAACTGTTCTGGAACACTGTATTTTAATGGATGGACAGTCTACTGAAATACTTTCTCAGTCATTTTTTGGAGAGTAAATATAGAGGAGGTATTCTTCAAAAGTCGTTCTTTGCACTTAAATCCAAGCTCTGTTTGTTCTCTGTGCCATCAGAGATTTGCTGTCTGCAGCTGCTTAGAGGCTCTTGCTTGCATTAGGATTCCACCACACTGGTTGCCATTCAGCCCTTCAAAACTTGCAACCCTGAACCTGCATCTGAACCCAACACCAATCAAGTTTCATCAGTGCATCCTAAGGACAAAGAGATCTTTGCTAACGGATCCTACTGTGGGACCTGATCTCCATCTGTATTTGAATTTATTTGTTTTCCCCTCTGCAGATTTCCAAGAACAAGGGGGGGGAAATAAATCATTACTCTGAATATCTGCCTCATCCTCATTCATCACGTTCATGACGCATGTAACGACTTCTTGGGAGCACTGCTTGATATTATCATCAAATCTTAGTTGCTGCCTTTTCTAGATCATTTCCCATACATATTTCCCAGTTCAGCTTTCCTGCTGCTACAATGTTAGCAAATAACGTACAATAAACAAGCAGACAATTGTTCCATTTCCAGGGAATAAAATCTCCAAGGATATAAAATAGAACAGAAACTATCCATCCTTCCCCATATCCTGTGAGTTAAAAATAGAGCAAGCAATGAACTCCCCAAATGCACTACATGGTTTAGGCCATACTTGAACAGCCATTTCAACTTGGCACAGGCTTTTACTGCTCCTGAAGTCCTGTCTTCTCCTCACCCTTAACTATTCAGTCCCCACTTCTCCTCATTGTTAGAACAGGAGTTCAAGCAAACCTATGATAAGAGCCACCCCTACCAAAATAAAGGGTTTTTTGCTCAGCTGAGCTCTGGGCTGGGCCAGTCCCGTTGATGTGACTCACTGCACCACTCAAGTGCCAAAGGAGGAGGGGGTGAGATGAGGTGAGGATTGCATAAGCTGCTGTGGCTGCCAAAGAAATGCTCACACTACCACGGTCCCAGTCTTATTCCTGGGGGCAGAAACGTGAGAGGGAGCCTGCTTCCTTCACTAACTTGTTCTCTGTCACTCCCCTTTGGCAGTGGCAGCCTCCCAAGTCCTCAAGGTCTGGAACAGCTTCTCAGGATAAGCAGGATTGCTAAGAGGTGCTGGGAAAACCCCAGCAATGCAGCACTAACCATCAGTGCTAGTAACAGGACAAACCAACACAACCAAAGGACATTGCTCTGATCTGATGCAAGGCAAGTGAAGCTTCTCCCTTGTCAAGATGCTGTCATTGATTCCCCAGATCCAGGGCTGAAGGAGAAGGTTACAATGTTGAGGAAATGGACCCTGAGATGAGGAAGAGAGCAAAATTTAAAATAAAATCATGTAATACTTTCACTTGCCAGTCTCCTCTTTTCCCTAAGCAGCTCCTGTGCTCAACAGCCAGATCTTCTTCACTAGAAGATGAGGATTTTCCTGCTGTCTGCAGTGCTGGCTGGTTTGCAGTTTGCATCTCAAGCTCTGCATTGTCCTTTGTTCTGCATGAAATAGAACTCTGGAAAAGCCAAGACAGAGTTGGGGGCTGCCCAGATTCTTTGACATACACTGAAATAAAAGAAATGCATGTGCCTACTTGACTTATGTTAAAATGTCACTAAGGTACCCATTATTTCTGTATTTCTGATCACTGCAATATTGTTTTCTTTCTACCTGTTACAAAGCTGCTACTCTCAATATGGCTGGTGTTACAGGAAGGAAAATGTAACTGATTGAACTGGCTCAAGAATCACCTTGCTCCCAAAAAAGTATCTCAAAGGAATGAGAGTGAGGCTCACAGACTCCTGCACCATGCTGTCTGTAAAAGAACTGATGTAGGACTGACAGTCCTTACAAAAGACTGCTTCTCTCAATAGTATCTTACAAAGTCAAGGAAATGCAAATCTAGAGCTTTTTGTTTATATGCCTGCCCCTCAGACTGACAAAACTACTACTACTCTAAATGTACTTCAACAGTCAGAACTTTCAAGGCTACTCAAAAAAAGCAGGACTACGTTATGATGTCACTTGCTTTACACTAATTTTATTAAACAGCTAGAAAGATGCAGCAGACACCTTAAAAATCCATTCTCATGTGAGATCCTCATAGACGATGTACCCGTAACTCTGTCTATGCTCAATTCAGCAGCAGACTGATGATTGTGTTTATAGCTTGTGAGGTGTTCAGCTGGCCAAAACCAATGCACTGTACATGTAACCACAGTAACCCTGTAAAGGAAAACTCACACAATGTGCCCCATTTAGTTAGGACCAATTATGCACTGTTCTTACTGGCACTTGCTTGGAACAGTTGTACCTACATACTTTCCAGCCCCTATTCTACATCTACCCTGCCTCTGCACCTTAAGGAGTGTAGCTGCCCTGGCTCTAAACAGGCTGATGTTTTGCTCACACTGCTAAAATGTTCAGCAGTCCACGTAGAGCAGATTTACAAGCCTTCAGTATCACACTGACAACTCCAAATGACCCAGGCAGGGAAAAGATTTAGCTTCATAAATACTGCAGTTTGAACTTCTCTTCCCACTGGCTACAGACACATTCAGTGTAAAAGAAAGCACATAGTTAAAGCCGGAAAAAATACAGAATTGGGTTTTCAGAAGTGCTCTACGTTTGACTAGTCCTACTCTGGTTTGAGCAGGTTAAGCCCCAGAACTGAGCACTTTTGGAATTCAAATCAGGACTCCTGACTGAGGCTCTGGAGTAATTGCTTCTTGGAGGAGGACTGTACATACATTAAAATGTATTACATGCTACATATTTAAACAGAGGCTCTCCTCTTTTGCAGGTCTCATGGTATGAGACTCAGCTGTTTTGCTCTGCCCAGGTTCCCCTAACTGTTCACTTGGTTTTGATCCATCTGGATTTTCACCACAGATTTTTGCTTTGAGTTTCTAATTTGAATGCAGGAAAGCTCTGCCAAAACCACATCACATTCAAACCACAGGAAATCATGACTTTGGCACTGTTTTGACATGGAAGCTGTAAACAGTGCGCAGGTTCACTCAAAACTGGAACACTGTCCTTTGAGTTATGAAACACACCAAAATTTCCAGCAAACCAAGTCAAAATTTTGAATCACTGAAGCAAGAGAAATTATGTGACTTTTGAATGGATTGAGATTTTGTTTTAAGTATTATTAAGCCTTTTTCCTCTTTCCTTCAGCTATAAATGTTCTTTGTGGAAGAATAAAAAGAGAAGCTGGGTTTCCTCCTTTCCAAGTTTCAGTTAAAACAGGATTTAGTTAATCCTCATAGCTGTAAGACACATATACAGTGTTAAAGACAAGAGCAGCTTCCTACTGGCAGTCTTGAGCATGAACAACTGTAAATGCCAGAGTTATACTGAAGATAAGAATATGGTTTAGTTTTACGTGCAGAATGATAGGTATTCAACTTAGAACTAACTTACACCACTGCTACAGGAACAAGCCTCTTGTTAAAAATCCACAGAATTTTCAGCTGCCAAACACTGGATTTTTACCCCAGGATTCCCGTTAGCAAACCATGAGAAATTTTTACTGAAATGGAAAATTATGATTTTTGCCTTCAAAATACACACTGCCCTGAAGAAACACATAGTTGTAAACAAGTCACAAGTTCATTGAAGATGAAAGGAAAACAATCTAGATTTCCAGACCATGCCTGAGAACAATCCAGACTCCAAACCCACCCAAGGCAGAAGTTTGAATGCTAAGCTACATGAAGGTGGTTTGACTGAAGTCAAACAAAAAGGAAGAAAAACATAGTCAGACAAAACAATATTTATATTACTGCATTGGCTGCAAGAAAAAAGCAGTTTAATCTTGCTGATTTATTTTTTTTTAACAGATTTTTACACCAGGCATGTTGAATATCAGAAAAACTCCACAGGAATCCATAACACACGGAATCATGTATCAGACATATCTGACCTGTCATAGAGTTCTCAGATGTACACAGTTGCTCTCTCAGCTTTTCCACATCATCTGGATGAACCTGTTCATACAAAGTGCTGCCAAACCATTCAGACTGGGGCTGGTTCAGCACAGGAGTCACAGAGTCTGATACGTAGATCACTCTTCCCGTCTCTGCTGCAACTACAAACAGGAACCCATCTGCAGCCTCCAGGATAAGATGTTTCAGTTCCTTCCAAAGAAAGGATTTTATCAGAATGCCAGCAAGAAAAGGCAATTAAATCACACATCTGCCACTGCCAAAGAATATTGCTTTCTTGTGATCTTAGTAGCTGATCACAAGCAAGGCAGAAATTTTCACTGTAGTATTGATGTAACATCACAACCAACCTTGCAGCAAACCATCAACTGCTGATCTTAATAGCAAACAAAACCTTGTTTTCCTTTATTGCCTTTCATCTGGTGATCTCAAGGCACTTTAGGAAAATTAGAGTAACTAAAACTCACTGCATTACAAAATGATAGATATCTAACATTAAAAAAATAAAGTTATTTAAGAGTACAAACAAAGGAAATGAAGAGTTATAACTCATATGGCAAACTCATTCCTTAATTAAACGTCCTGAATATTTTCATTAGAAAGAAACCAACAAATATTTCTGGATTGTTGTTTTTTTCCTTTTTCCCCTCAGGATGAGCTCTGCTTGTAAATTAAACACTCATTGGATAAAAAGCAGAAAGTGTAATGGGAACAGGGACAGGAATCCCCAGCCTCCCCTTCCATTACGGGGCCTGAGCCACTACACAAGAAGACTGGATCTCTACTTGGTTTTCTTTTCCAGCCTGTGAATATTGAGACTCAGAGTCTCAAAGAGTATGGAACACCCCATTGCTGTTCGCATGTATGTCACATAAAAACTACCTTTGCTCAACAGAGCTTGAAAACCCCTCATGGGAAAAAAAGGACAACTACCACTCCAACTCCTGGGAACATCCTTTGCTTGGTGGCTCCAGTGACCACTAGAGCTTTTTAAGATACTGATCTAGAACTCAGACAGAAAGCTTTGGAAAATCTGAGTCCCATTCCAGGTTAGAAAGCTCAGCACAGTTAGTGTGCCAGTAGCCAGATACTAGCTGATAAGGTGAGGATCGTAGTCTGGTAAATTCTGCTAAGGAACTGGGTAACTCATCTCAAGAAACTCGTAACTGATCATCAGTTTTTATTTTATTGACATTTTATTTTAGAGCAAGCACATTAATTCTGAACCACTTAATAAACCACAGAATCACTAAACAGTTTGAGTTGGAAGAAACCTTAAATATCATCTAGTTCCAACCTCCCCTGCATGGCCAGGGACACCTCCCACTAGACCAGGTTGTTCAGAGCCCCATCCAGCCTGGCCTTGAACACTTCCAGGGATGGGACTTCCACAACTTCCCTGGGCAACCTGTGCCAGTGTCTCACCATCCTCACACTAAAGAATTTCTTCCTAATGTCTAACCTAAATCTCCCCTCTTCCAGCTTTAATCCATTACCCCTTGTCCTCTCACTACAAGCCCTTGTAAAAAGTAAAAATAGAAGTAAAAATAAAAATAGCTAGCTGCACTATGCGGAGGACAATGAGAGCTGTTTTGCATACACTGTTAACAAAGGTGAAGACTGTAATCCTGCTAGGTTCAAAGAAACCAAAAAGTTGCAGTGAGAAGTGACAAGGGTGCCCTGCCAATCACCAGCTGAATGGCTCAGTCCCTCCAGAAATGCACTTCAGGAAAGCCAGAATAGTCAGAGATGTGAACACTGAGAGGTCAGCAGAAGCTGCTGCTGCCTCTAGCCATAACTTACACATGTAAGTGCTTAAATTGTTCAGATGACAAAAATGGTCATCACACCCATCGGACTTCAAAAACAATGAAGGTCATAGGAATTTTCAGTGCACTCAGTTAAATGGTTTTTCTTTCAAGCACTGGGTGCATCTTCCTTCTTCCATCAAAAATACAACCAAGGAAGTACCTCAGCCAGTACAGATGGGATTAATTTCTGCCTAGTTCAGCTGCTAAGAATTTAGGCATTGAGACTAAACAATGTTTTGAACATTCCTCTAAACCTAGGAGGGAGAGGCAGGTCTTTCCAGAGAAATTTCTACCTGTTTTAGAGAATCTTTGTTAGGATGGAAAGAATCCAGTTCTGGAGGTGAAAATTCCTTTCAGATTATGAGAGCTGGCAAGCAGCTTGCTTTTCAAATGGACAGACCTCAATGATAAGAATGCCCATCTTGCTGTTTCAGAGAGGGGGATTTGTCATACAGTTCAGCTCAAGTCCCAACAGTCACATAAAATTGTCTCTATTCACATCCTGGACACGTAACTTGTACCAGTTACCATACAACAGCCCCTCCTCCTCTCAGCATCTTCTTATATCGCTTAAGACCCCTAACCAGAGAAAACAGGTATTTGCAAAAAATCTACCTGTTCTGTAAGAAATGAAGGCTTGTAAGCTCCATCAGTAGATTTGTTCCCAGTGCCCCGCATGGATTTCATGTGTGAAACCGCCATCCGAAGAATAGTCAGCTTGTCGGGCTTCCGAGCCAGGGCGCTACAAGTGGGCACCATGTCAGACAGCTCAGTGATGTACTGTGTCATCTTATTTCTCCTGCGTCTCTCAATCTCACTGTGATTCTCCCTGAACATTGAAAAGAAACACCAAATCAACAGAAAAGCACAGGTGATCAGTGTTAAGTATGGAGGTAACAAACTGTAACACTTTGCACTTCTTTCCTTGTCGCTGCAGGGCAATAAACTGCTTCACAAAGCTAAGTACTATTAGCCCTCAGTTTATAGACAGAAAATCCAGGCCACAGAGGATAAATATGATTTGTCCATAGCTGTTAAAAAAGAACCTGCATTTCTAGCTACTGGCTTCTGGCCTTCATCTCTTAAACAGTTTGATCTCCTTTGGTTTAAGGACCAAAAAAAGGAAGCATGAAGACGAGAGGAACTGACAATTGCCAACTCCAGCCAAAGTCCCAAATCATCAAAGGGATGGGTTTGCTTATAAAAGGGCTCTTTAAGCAGAAACCTCTTACTAACAGCTGGATGAGGTCAGTAGTAAGCATCAGTACCGACTTACAAAAAAGCCCAAAGACAAGACAGATCTCCAGTCCTGCAATGCTGTGTGGAACATCCCACATTCCTGTTGGGAGTTCCTGCATGCCTAAAAGCTGCAGGACTGGGACCATATATGGTGTAACAGCACATACAAAACCCCAGTAAATAAACAAAAGGAGTGCAAAAGACAGCAAGTAAACATCCGGTTTGTCAGACATCAGAATTTTTGTTTGAGAACAATCTAGCCCAGCAGGGAAATAACAATGACAGTATTTAATGCTACTCCACTTCGAGCCAAGCTCCAATGTTCTTATTCTTTATAGCAAACACATGACTGAGGTGGTGAATCAAATTCCAGAATTCTCAAAATGGACAATCACCAAAATCTTTCAGAACTTAAGATCTGGGTGTTCAGTTTTCCCATACTGCAAATTACCCTTACTTGATTACTATTATGGAATTACACGAATATGTATATCTGAGGTGGTTCAGATGGACCTTGAATACTACAGTGCCTAGTAGTTATTTTTCCCATACTGTACCTGTCAGGTGGCAGCTAAATACAAGTACACAACAGGTATATGATACTTCAGATGTCAAAGCAGCATCTTCCACTGATTTCAATGAACTGTGCATGGCAGTTTCTTGTGGGATCGCTGGCTGATCCAACAAGATGTGAAAGGTGATCACGAGGAGAGTCCCCCAGCACTGACTGGTACAATAACACAACATTAGAAACAACTGCTACAATTTTTGGGGCTGACTGTTATGAACAGTGATCATGAATGTAAAAGCTAGGCTTGGCATGCTTTTTGGCTACTCTGAATAATGGAGCTTTTTCTAAAAACACAGGGAAGAATGCACGTACAGGGGGTGTATGCAGGAGGCATTGTCTTCAGAAGTGCCACTTGTCAGGGCTAGTTGCAGACTTATTACTCCTACTGATGCCTATGCTTACCATCTGATAATCAGAAATTCCAGCTGTAGGTCCCTGCAATGACAGTCCATGGTCCTCCAGCAAATTGCAGCAGTCCCTTGGTTAAGGTCACTACCTACTTAACTATCTATTACCATAACAATGAGCCTCCCCATTCCAAATGGCTGATAAACAGCCTTTGTGTGGGTCTGCACAGAGGCAGGAGAGAACAGTGCCTGTGGGAGCTGGATCCTACACACATACACAAGCAGAACAGCCTGTCTGACACTGCACACATACATAAGAGCACTCATGTGTACATGTCAGCATTTACATGGAGACAAATATGGACAAGGGGAAGAAAAACATTCTTGCATCATGAAAGCTTCAGCATTTTCACAGAAATGGTGATCAAGAGAGAGACAAAGAACACACATATTCAATATCTATTTTATGTTTTTAGAAAACGTATTCCATTGTCTGCCAAGGAAGTACTTTAATACTCCTGAACATCAAAAACAATAATTCCAAAGGGTAAACAAAGAGACTGCAAAACTTCCCAAGAAGAAAGAGAAGGATATCTAACAGTCCATTTAATTTATGATAACAAAAGCTAAAATGTAATAGTATTTTAATCAACTGGCCATGAAAACATTCAATCAAACAAAAGTCTGAAAACTTTCCTGAAACTAGTACAAATTTAAGCTCTTGAAAAAAAAAGAGGGGCTGTGCTACTCCTCCAAAAGTGTTTGCCCTAGGAACCCTGACATTCATAAACATGTATAGAGAATGATGTCCTAATTCTGTAATTTGTAACTTCGTTTTTATACGGATATTTTGGAGGGAAGTTGTTTTGGGAGACTGTGGAAGCTGATCCAAGCTTATTTAGGTCTGGTGTCAGTATTTCTGATTTCAGGCATTTTTGGATGAGACAACTGCTCTGACTTTTGATCAGTCAGAATGGCACTATATAATATAAAAATGGGGGCAAAGCATATTTGATTTTCCTTTTTCCTACCTGGCCATCCTTCCTGTATCAGCAGTACTTTGATCATGGTCCCACCTAGAAACAAAATAACCAGCTCTCTAAACTAAGGTGCAGGTACTGAGACTTTTTGGACACGACCATCACCCTCTTTTCTCTCAGCAGAAGAGCTCTACAGAACACGCCTACCTTGCAAACTTTTCCTTATCACCAGAGATTTGATCAGCATCATACCTAGAAACCAAAGATAAAATGTTAATTCACCAAGGTTATGCATCACATGACAGTCAACACACAGCAGAAAGCAAAGAGGTTCACAACTGCCAACTACTACAAATAACAGCAAGAAAAATGAGGGTGTGAGAACAATTAAGCAAAGAAAATGTAGAGTCTGATGGAACTTCCAAGCCATGCTGATTCAAAAGCTTCATTTGTGTATTTTAAAAAGTTGGAGACACATTTCAGGGGATTTGTGCAAACACTTTGACATACACTCACTGCTTGGGAAACTTAGCGACCAGCACCATTACAGAAAACACCACTGAGCTTTCATCGACAGCAGCCCATGAGATATTCCTTGCTATGCTGGAAGTGAAAGAGCTGGATCTTTGCCAGATTGCAATCACAACTCACTCCATTCAGCAGAGGGCACTGATGGTCTACAGATAACACGGGAGGGCAGGGACACAGGCTTAAGTGCAACGCATCAGGTACTGAGCCTTCAGAAAAAAGCTCTGGTAGGTGCAGAGACTGAACTGTCTGCTGGGAGACTGGCAGAGTCAGGCAAGGAGAGGAAACTGCTGGGTAAATAAGGGGAATTAAAACGGGCTTCAATCCCTAGAACTAAACAGGTATCTCATTCCTACTCAAGAGAAGTTAGTCGCTACGTGCAGCAACTGTATGGAGGAAATCCTGATCCATGGGACTTCTGCCTCATGGGATTAAAGTTTCACTGTTTTTGAATATTGTCCCAGAGACAGGCAGCAATGTGACATTTCACTAAAAAAAAAAATTATATGATGCTCTTCCTTTCCCTTTCCTAAAAACATACTAATCCTTTGAAACTAGATTTTGCTAGAATAGCTACCAAAAGGCACGTTTTGAAAAAGATCTTAACTGTTGGAGAAGCCAAACTGCTTGCTCCAAAACAGAAATGTAGCTTTTCAACAATACCCAAAACTAATGCTTTTTCTAGATTTGAATATTATTACTGTTCAAGGATAGTCAGGTGATATTTTATATTAGAAGGAGCTTTTTCAAATTGATGCAATTTATTACAACAGAGCTTATGAAACTTGGAGGTGTTAGCTAGCAAGGTATTGCAGTCTATTTAAGCATCCTTTTTCTGCCAAAAAACTAATAATTAAATTGTTCTTTATTTCTTCTCAAACTAATTAAAACTGATTTTAAGTATGCCAACAATGCAAGTCCCTCTAGGAGGCTTCATATTTTCCTTCCCCAGTAAAACTCATTCAAGTTCTGAAGAGAAAGCTTAAGTGAGACTTGAGCTGTGTTTCTTTCTACATTGCTTTAAACACCAGCACCCTCTGAACATTCAAGTGAAAATGCCACTTTCTTCCACTTGACCCTGCCCGGAGAACAGACTGAACCCAGAAAAATTTTAAACAACAAGACAGATTGAATGAGGAATGGCAACATGCTGTTGTGTGAGCAGTACATGCATACACCTCCATGTGATGGTGAGGTGCCATGCAGAGATACCTGAGCTGGCTTGGAAGCCCCTGAGAAGCAAGGTGTGTTACCTCATGGAGTACCATACTAACACCACCATCCCCTGTGCTCCTGCTACTTTGGGACTTGTCTATACACTCTTCTCTGGTTGGACAGGCTGAAGATGTTATTGCCTTCAGCTTCTCTTTTCCCCCTTCCAGCCTCCCAGCTGACCCCTCTGCATGCTTACTTCTTTAGGCACTTCAGTCAAAGCCAGCTGGGTTAGCTTAAACTTTTGAACTAACCAAATAATCTTGACCAAGACAAGCTAGGAATCAGTCACATGGGCAATTTGGAGAAGGGAAAAGCCCTAAAAGGAGGACACAACTAGAAGAAGACATCTGAATATGGCTCTTGGCATCTCTGTGCTGTTTTCCTGTACTCTCTAAAAGCAGAACAATCTGGGGGTTTTACAGCATTAAGGATTTAAGTATCAAATTTTGATCTGACATCTAAAATTAACTGATCCTAAGCACAGAACAGGATACTCCTCCAATAAAAATAATAGAACTATTTGCTCTCCCCACAATCAAACTTTGGAAGGCTGAAGCCAGGATGAAGACAGACCAACGTGTACCACTGTGCCTCGAATCCCTGACACTTTAGCAGGCACAGGTTGGGTCATATGGATCACAAATTTTGCTCCCTTAACATGTTATCTTTCAGCAAACATTCAGAACGGCTAATAAACCCTGCCTGGAATATCCTGTCTGTAAATGACACCAGCTAATCAGGGGTGCTGCTGGTCTTGTCCAGTAGGTTATGATATGGTGTTACAACACATCTTCAGCACCCTTATTTTGCAGGCTGACTGGGAAGATCTTGTTAAAACCCTATGTTTGGCTGCTGCTACACAGCTACAGCTGCAATTTGGGCATTCAGCAGTTTTTGGTAGGCCTCGAAGTATTCACCCTGCACTGCAGCTGCTTGGTTTCTAACGAAAAAAATGCAAACAGTGTGACCAGAAAAAAAAGGAAAAGTGAAAAATGGTAATGATGCTTTAATGTTTGCTTTTACTTCTAGCCTAGAATATTCCATGTTAATTAACATTTATTTTGGCAATTTTTACTATTCAGTTACACCTAATAGTACATGATAAGCTCTAATCTTTAAAAAACAATCCACACCTCAATGATCTGTCATATTATTTTAACAAGCAGTTAACATCTGAAACAAATTCAAAATATATTTATTTTCAGTGGCAGAAAGACAACTTCAGCAATGTCAAGTAACCAAAGTTCATCTACAGCAGTTGAAATAATAAGCTAAAAATCACAATTTTTCTCATTTGACATAACTGCAGATTGAAATGATGACACACACCCTTGCCAGCTTTGTAAGCCAATAACTACATTAGGCAGACTTCTGCCAGGATGTCTAATTTGCAGAGGAAGCTGATAAAAACACTAACTAGAATTTAGGTCAAGCTGTTGGCAAGATCTTCAGTCATATTCATATTGACTTTAAAACATCAGTAGTGAGACAGCTGTCTTTCTCCACAGAAAGAAGTCAGTGATTTGACCAAGTCTTTGTAAATGCTCACCTTGAAAATTTGCTGGGTCCCTCTCCATCTTCATCATCAAAGTCCATTCTGTAAAAGCAAGATTCCTGAATCAGTAATCATGATGTTGGCAACGGTGACATGAACAGTCATGCCAGAGGTTCTCAACCTTGTTTGATTTATATTTTGACTAGAGGTGTTTACAACTGTAGATTCCAGTCTTGCTCATAATCTACAGACCCCCTAAAAGTAGCTCATCAGCTGCCAGGAATAAAAAGAATACAAGGTTTAAAAAAAATAAAGTAATAAAATAAAATTAAACACTGTCCTTCTCCACAGAAATCAGCACTGTTAAAATTAACAAATAAAAGGAAATATTAAACAAATACAGTTGCTGTGAGATAGTCAGAAGTAATTATCTCGTAGGCCTGATAGAAGTTTACAGAAATCAGTGGGGACTCTATGTTGGATGACTGAAATTAAGGCTAAAGCAAATAAAGTTCTGAAGCTGTACACATACTAAACACCAGGCCACTGTTTTTGCCCCAGTCTAAAAAAAGCACATTAGAAATCAAGCAGAATAAATTCCCAGTTTCCCTGCTAAGAGGATTATCTATCTCACCGCTACCGGTTGTAACCGCGGGACATTCTTCAGACCTGCCCCATATTACCAATCATTTCACACAAATTACCAGCCAGTCTGTGGATGGCAACTGCTTTGTGGTATTCCTGTGGTCATTGCTAAAATGACCTACAGGTCTGTTGTGCACCTAACTTACCTGGTGTCTGACACAGACCTACTTCTTAAGTTGACAGAAGAGACGAGCTCTTCCTTGGGCCAAATCCCAGCCCTTCAGTTTGGCTCCTCCTGGGAGCCACAAAAAGCAGGAACCTCCTTCTTCACTTCTTACACAGAGAAACAAGGAAGATTAACTTCCTGAATTAGCCACCTAGAGGTGGACAAATATATAACCCAATTATAAGAGGGTGACTGCCACTAAAGCAGATTAGGAACCGAACTGATATACAATTACTGTATTAGCGTAATAATTTTAATAAAAAATACAGGATTATGATGAACAGACCCTGAGCAATCACCTAAATGTAATTTGTGCAGACAGAAATCATGTTTTGTTTTGCAAAAAGTTTTGTTGTGTTCTCTTTAACCCTCTAACCTTCCTAACAGTTCAGTGTAATAAAACTTCACACAATTGCAGATTTCATGTCTCTAACGCTCTTTCTATCAGTAACAGACAAAAGCCATATTAAAGGCAAAACACCTGCAAAGCGACAATAATATTTATCTCAGTATTAAAAGGAATCCCTACCAATTAAAAACTAATATTTGTATTTTCAGAGTGTGGGAACCACGATACAAAGTCCATCTGAAGTACTCTGAAGTACATCAGCATAGACAAGTGTGAGAGCCAGTCAGGTAATACTACCTGGCTTCTTAACTGACAACCAAGACAGGCTGGTCAATAACAGACACGTTTGAGTCACAGCCACAACCAAGACAAGGGCAGTGAATAAGCACAGGAATTAGGAACAGTATTAGAAAAGTCACGATAATATTTTCCAGATTATTCATAGTGATTATTCATTTCCAGAGGAAGCAGAGAGAAAATCATTTTCCTCCAAGAGTCTTAAGAAAAGATGTATATTTAATTTGGTGAAGTTTGATGCAATTGCCATTTCCACTATAAATTACATTTCTGCTCACCTAATTATCCCCAAACCTGGTTTTGAAGCCAGCAGCCCCTCAGCTGCCTGGCTTGTCCTTCTCTGGTTTCACTGGCAACTGAAACACAACTGAAAGAACCCTCCAGTTTCAAACCTGGGGTATAAGGGCTGCAGAAAATATATTAACCTATGGAGAAAAGTCTTTTCGGGGAGGCTTTAGTAAGACATTTTTTTCATTTGGGTGCAATACCAGACTGTAGTAAACTAAATCTTTAAATAATGTCTTTGCTTTGTTAAGCTAAAAATACTGACTTTATTCCAAATACTACATAATAAAAAATAAGAAATTGAACATAAAGTTCATTTTTATGTCAAAACTTGAAAAAAATGCAACAGTAAATGTCTTTCTCTCCCATCTTTGTTAATAAACACATTTCCTAATTTCACATGTCACTGTGCAGAATGAAAAAAACTCTTTCAAAACCTGAAAAAGAAAATCTCAAGTATAAAGTCATTGATCCCACTGTCCTCCGTGAAGCACTGCATCTGCTTTACAGCCAGGCAGACTGAAAGACAGGGTAACCAGCTGTAACCTTTAGCAGAATGCATAAAAATAATATTCCAACAAACTCCTCAGGTAAGATCTCTGTTCTGATAGAAGAGAGACACACCAGCAAAACAGTATAAGCAGCCTCCAAAAAGAATAATTACATTATTTCAGAAGTTTCAGAAAGAGAATCTTTATCTTCATTAAAAATTCCCCTTAAAAAGAGACTTTGAAAAAGAGCTGCACTCTGCTCTTTTGTTTTGAAGAGACAGCATAAATCTTGTTTTCCTCTCTCATACTATTCATGTCAATCGAGAAAAGGCCTGATATATGAGGCACTTACTACAATATATTTTCCTCCAAAGATGTGTGTGTACCATGAATACTGTGATGAAACTATTTTTAAAAAATATATTTATTTTAAATTAGAAATGTTTTCATACAATATAAAGCCTATGACAAGGTGGTCCTGCACAAGTTAAAATCCTGAGATGGGAGAGGATTTGAACACTGCAAGAAGACGATTGTGTAAAAATCCCAAGAAATGTCAAAAGATGGCTTGCCATGATTCCACAGGATGGGAAGGGGGCAGGCAGGAAT